GTTTAATTTTGCAAATTAATACAAACATAATATATAGCCATATAGGTAACATTACATTTATCTTAAGAGGACGCTACACCCGCATGTGTTGTCTCCGTCTTACAAGTACGTAACACTGCAAAAACTGTTTCGCGCGGGAAAGAACCGAGAAGGCTACATTCATAACTAAAAAACGAAATTCTCACCACAGATAAAAGGGAATTTCGACTGTGCAACGTTGTTTTTATTTTTTTGATATTAGAACTGAAAAAAAAGTTATTCGATTTTGAAAAATGCAAAAATAATGCATTTTGAAACAATAAGAACTTTTTTTCTATTTGTGATATCGAAAAATTGAAAACAACGTTGCACAGTAAATGTTCTCCTTATTATGTGGTGAAAATTTCGTTTCTTAGTTATAGCTGTAGCCTTCTCGGTTCTTTCCCGCGCGAAACAGTTTTTGCAATGTTACGCACTTGTAAGACGGAGACAATACATGCGGGTGTAGCGTCCTCTTAACTACCTACCTATCTGATTAATTTAACAGAAAACATTTGAATTTATATTTTTATATACGAATTAAAAAATTTAATGCAGCTCACATAATATCTTTGTAGTGCATTAATATTGTATGAAAAGAAATCTTATTTGCGGTTGACTCCATTACTCCAACGTCATTTAATGATATAATATCTTACAGTTATTAAGTGTAACAAAAACATTTTCTCGTTCAGAATAAAATCACGCAATTTATTCTACTATAAGAGATAAATTAAATATGATATACATATACTTTAAATAGTTAAATATATAACATATAATAGTAATATTTCAAAGGAATATATTTAATGTAACAACTAATAACTTACTAAAATTATTATGTACCTATATTGTATATTATACCTATGTACCAACCAAAAGTTGCTTACACTATTCAAACATCAACATACCGGGTAGTTAAATTAATCACAACAGCGTATCATTAAATATATAGGTACCTATCTACGTCATATATATATATTACTATAAAGATAGGTACTTAAGAATATAGGTAGTTATTATCAGAATATTGATTATTTATTATAAATGATTTGAACAGTTATTATTCTAGGTTCCTACCTAGTAATTGAAACGGGCGAATTATGATAGCGGCAATAAAATAATATTTAAGTATAGATAAATATAAGCATATTGCAGCAAATTTGATATTTAAATATATTGCACTTTATACTGTATTGAATCGTATTCAATTTCAATTTATATTTGTACCTACTATAATTAATAGATACCTAGTGTTACAAGGTGCAGTACAAAATTAATGATAAAAATACAATTTGTGTCTATCGCAGCTATTGTAGGTAGGTATAATACTTAGAAATATTTATATTTTAATTTATAATTATGATTATGATATATTTATATAAATACGTATCGGCTACCAWKTTGTCATCTTTTTGAAATTTAAGCTCAATGCTACAATTTATATACAACCTCTGAAATTTATTTAATATAAGCATGCCAGTTTATCGTCTAACAAATAAATATCATATAATTTAATTTAATCAATCGATCGATTATACTCTGATATGTTTTGAGTTTGTGATATTACAAGTTACAATTACAACATGTTTAAAAGCATTAATAAATATTAACAATTTTAATCGGAAATTCTTTCAAAACCCTCAAGGTAGCTACACACTATGCGCGTATTCGTTGTTCGCGGTTCGCGGTTCGCGATTTATATAAATTCGTAATTTTTTGATATCACACGAAATCACACGAATTGTACACGAATTTACTCATTAGAATCGATTCGTTCTCTTTGATCTTTTGATTTTACCGCCCTTTGGAGCGATAGACCACGAATCATTCGTGAATAGTCATAGGCCAATATTGGCCCACGAATGACGATTGCGAATGATGAATAACCCCWACACACTATTCACGAATTTAAACGAATAGTGAACTACGAACCGCGAACAACGAATACGCGCATAGTGTGTAGCTACCTTCACTGATAACATTTTTCAACGATTTTCAATAGTTGTTGCTAGTCCTCTATTTAACACTAGATCAGCTACTGACACTGAGAAAATCAGAAAAAGGTTAAAATTTGTCATTATTGTAAAATAGCTCCACTAAAAAGAATCTAAAATTTTAATTATTTGCTACTGCAAGGGTATAAAAATATAATTTTAATTAACAAATATATCGAGCATAAAAAATCGGAGATGAAAAACTCTGAGTATAGGTACGAATGACTAGAAAAATTACTGTGTTACATGATTTATTTAAAATCGTTGGATTTATCGAAAGTAGATTATATCGAGGTTAGGATACATTTATTTTAACGTGTTTGAGTAGCCACGAATTATAATTAATAGGATATTAAAAAAATGAAATAGAAAAAAAAACAATAATTTACATTTTAAAGTTAGATTAATATTATTACTTTGAATATTTTAAATGAGACATACAATATAATTAAAACCATACCAATAATTTAATGAAAGTGCGAGAATTTATAAATTTGTTAAATTTACTGACTCACTGACAATTTACGTAGCGATTATGTGGCATAATAATTTATTTTCTCTATTACTTTCCCTTAAAGATATCCTAATACCATATTATAGGTAATTATATATTTCTGATTATATATATATATACTTATCTGGTATATGTAGCAGTACCTAATACTTACTTATGCGTAGAGCTGTTGAAGGCGTATTTAAAATGTTTGTTCTATTTCATTTCGTATTACCTTTCATATTTTATTTTTGTTAAGGTTAGTACTCGTCAGGTATATCGGTCAACATAAATATCATAAAATAGGTACATATACCAAAACCATGACGTGTAATTTTCACCAGATAAAATCTCCTACATCTGCGAAAATTATTATTTAGATTATTAAGTGTTAAATCCCACATAACTTTAAAAGCAAAAATAAATTTAATAGGATATTTTCTATAATGTATAACTAGATTCTAGATAATACATTGATACCACTACGCATAGTAACTACACACATTATAATAAATGTTCTTTGAGAGTATCAAACATATTTCTTCGAATATTCTATGATTTGAGCAGTTTAGTCTATAGGTACTACTGGTACTAGCAAAATTGACATGAACAGAAATATTAGGTATTTGCTAATTAAAGTTTATTTTTGATCAAAAATAAAATAAAACCCTTCTTTGGAATGTTGCTTATATATGGTACCTACGTCAGAAGTCAGAACTTACCTATTACAGAACACAGAATTGCAGACATAAAACATTTTAATAAATAACAACTAGTATTTAGTAATGTTATAACTAGTATAACTATTACTTATTTTAATTATAATTTATAAGCCATTTGATTTGACAAAAAATAGTTCAATCTACCGTCGGTCTTTGTTGTAATTTAAAAATGAGTAATGCGGTAAAGAATTTTTACTAAAATAAATATTCTTATCAGCATTTTCTAGTCAAAATTTAAATTTCATAATATTTTGATCCTCTTTGTGCTATTTATATAGGTATATTTAAATAATTTTAGTTTATGTATGGTATAATTTTTKTTTGTTACTAAAATAGTAAAACATATTTAATATTTGTGGAAAAATCTTAAATTTATACGCAAAACCAGTTTAAAAAAAGAAAGATTTTATGTTGCCGGTGTATCTAAAAAATAATTAACTGTATGTACTTTAATTTTCTTAAAATATTAATTTAAGAGGACGCTACACCCGCATGTATTGTCTCCGTCTTACAAGTGCGTAACATTGCAAAAACTGTTTCGCGCGGGAAAGAACCGAGAAGGCTACAGCTATAACTAAGAAACGAAATTTTCACCACATAATAAGGAGAACATTTACTGTGCAACGTTGTTTTCAATTTTTCGATATCACAAATAGAAAAAAAGTTCTTATTGTTTCAAAATGCATTATTTTTGCATTTTTCAAAATCGAATAACTTTTTTTTCAGTTCTAATATCAAAAAAATAAAAACAACGTTGCACAGTCGAAATTCCCTTTTATCTGTGGTGAGAATTTCGTTTTTTAGTTATGAATGTAGCCTTCTCGGTTCTTTCCCGCGCGAAACAGTTTTTGCAATGTTACGTACTTGTAAGACGGAGACAACACATGCGGGTGTAGCGTCCTCTTAATATTTTTACTATTTTTGTTGGTTTTATTTCTATAAATACCAATGAACAATTTTACTCAGTAAAAAAGCTTAAAAATGTAATACAAGATTCTTCTAAGTTGTTATTATATTATACATTTAAAATATTTAAGAAACATAGGTGACAAACACGATTTTATTATTATAGGCATTCGAAGTTGGGATGAAATTAGACATTTAATTCGAAGAATAACGGTTTTAGCTATTTATTTTGTAATAATTCAAAAATATTATAAATTAGATGAACTTGAAAATTGTACGTATATTAATATCATTAAATTTCATGCTCACAATAATATGTTCACATTTATTCATTGAATTCAAATTTAACATAAACATTACAGTGATTTAATCAATAACGAGGTACACTTAGTGGCTACTTTTCACATTTTTAATTTTTAGGATGCATAAAAGATCAATAGTTGTGAGTTTGTGACACAATTAAGTACATAATATTGTCTATTTAATATTTATTAATTACTATACACTATTTAGTACCTAAGTCGTAAGGGCTGTGTAACTGTAGTGTATACAAAATTAAAAAAACGTCAAAAACTACAAAATCAAACTATTTGCTATCACGAATTTATTATCAGCATTTCGTTATCACGCACTGGTGTGAGGTTATGTTGTTACGTCTGTGGTCCGGGTTAAGAGGTATTACTATATTATTACCTTTTTTCTTTTCACAATTTTCCTCGAAAATCGATATTAATATTGCATTGCCGATAACTATTAACTAGTCCAACCGCACACGCCACTACGCAGGAGAGTAAATTGTGTAATGTGTACCTTCGTGCTTGTTAATTGTCTGTCGTGTCGGTAAATAATAATGTATTAATTATATTAATCAATTAATCAAATAGATACGAATATACGAAGATCTTTTTATCGGAGACCGTTGAATAGCTGAACGCACCGAAATTTATAATTTTATCGTCGAAACAGCACTCGAGAATTACAATATTTTAGAAGCCTCGTTTTTTATTTTTTGTTCACACCACAGTAGATTGCTACCATACACACTCGCACATATAATACATTAATTATTATACTTCCTACAGTCAAGAGGTGAGTTAATCTATACCCCCTCTGCGTTCGCATGCGCGCAACCAGGGTCACAAGGTGCTTGCAAGTTATGTTTCCGACGTTATATTGGAGAACCGGAGAGGTTGCAGATTTCATTTGCTCGGCGGTTTTCCGCTGATTGACAACAGGCTTAATGTAGCCGGTTGTTTTTATTTATTTATTTATTTATTCATAATTTAAAAATAGTTAAAACAGTATTCAAATTTTGAAATTTTGTTAATTTATTTTTATCTCAAGGGGTAAAAAAAATATGGCCACAGAAGATTTTTTTGAGGGGGCTGAAAAGCTGTTGGAAATATGGTTTGGACGTCAAGATGGAAAAGTTGAGAATGGAGACTTGAGAAAAATACCAAGGTAAAATCAATAAGTTTCTTAACCTCTCTATTATTTTCATTTTTTTTTTTTTATAAATTATATTTTGGTAAAGAGAATAATTTTGAATATTAGTCCTTGGTTATGGTTTTTGTTTTGTTTTAGACTATTTAGTATTTAGTAATTATATATTAGCCTTGAATCAAACCGTTTATTTTTGGTTTAGTCAATTTTAAATCATGTGCCTGAAAAAAAATGAATTCTTATGAAACAGAATATTGTACATCCTGTTATTTATTAAATATATTGTTATATAAAAACACTTTACCTATACAGTTTAAATAATTGTAAAATATTTGTAAAATTTTAGCAATTAGATATTGGCTATCTACCAACTTACTTAATATATTTCATTAGTTTATTCTAAAAAATTATTTGATTCATTTTAGTACTTATTGCCTATTTGTGTTATTTTTATTGACATTTTAATTTCATAAATTGAATAATAATTTTTGATTGATTTTGAATTTGTTCACTCACAGTTTATTTACATTTAATTATTTCTTATCTATTATAATACAATATATAAATTTAAATTCAAACAAATAAATATCTACTTTACTAGTTAATTATTATATTTTTAATTTTAAGTAAGAGTGTAGAACTATAAAATACTTTACAATGATTTCTTGAATGTACTTAAATACTTATTTTTTGGTTGCATTATATAAAATACCTTTATTGCTTTCGTTTACTTAAACTTGGTGGTTGTAATTATACTAATTATAATTTATATACAACATTAAATTTTAAAATTAAATAACCAATCAATTTTAGAATACTAAATAATTGTATCACGGCTCATAGTATATGAAATAATATGTACCTAATTTGTATGTAACTTAATCGATTAAAATACAATGTTTGTCTTTTTTCGGTGATTAATAAAAAGTCTCTTATTTCTATAAATTAGAAATTAAATACAGTTCATACTAAAGGCAAATATTGGAAGAATTTTCCAGATTATGACATGATATCATGACAATAAGTGAAGAAATTCAACCAATCTAACCTACATATTTACCAAGTTTGAGTAAACCAAGTTCTATTAAGAATCATTTTCTAAGTATAAAAATATACTTCATTGACAATCACTCAATTTTAAGTTAGCATTTTGTTTATACTATAATAATATATCGTTCCTGCCTAATCATAGTAATAGACAATAGTAAAAAAATTGTTATTTTGATATTTTAAGACTTTATTTTATTCATTCCTCTAAATTTAAATTCTGAAATAACTATTTTTATTTATATTTTGTTTTGTTTGTGAACTTCAATTTCAAAAATGTTACTTAAAAACAACAATATTACTTTATAGCTTATTTTAGTGCATTTTTTGGAAATTGTCCAATTATTTTCGGCGCCAAAAATATGAAAAAAAACCATGATATGCATGTGAAGGTTAATAATAACCTAAATTAATATGTAGTTTAGTCCATGTATTTATGTATAACTTGTTATATAATTTTTTATTTCATGATTAAAATTTATAATATTTTAAGAACCACAATTTATCTTATCCTTGTCTATATGTGAATGTGTGATAAGTTAGTGCTAAAGTGCCTTATATGTATATAATTAATAAAACGATAAGCCTATTTTATAGATTCAACCGTTGAAATTGATTTATCAATATTCATATTACTTTTTTTTTATTAGCATTAGTAACTCTTGCTATATGAATATGATACTTGAATTTTAGTGATTAAAAAAAATATATATATATGAATAAAAAACTAATAAAACGTGTCTATAATAAGTATCTATAAACCGTGTCTTAGTAAATAAAAAAAAATAATACTGTAATTTTAAATTTTTATCTAGACTTCTTAAAACGCATATATTTATATATATATGAATTTAATTTGTGATAGTTGTGATATTGTACTAATTTAAAGTGTTCAAAATAAAATTCTTGATTAGAAATAACTTATTATAAGAATTTAATGTTATTCAAACTTAATAAATTTCCCCTTACTGAATAAGCGTATAAAGATTAAACATTATACATTCCCTAACATTTTATATGCAGTTAGGTACAGTGACAATTTTGAACCCTGATCATGGCCTTTTCAATTTATTTTAAGACTGTAAGGGTAGTAAGTAAATGTAAAAAATTAATTCCACCATTTGATTTAACTCATTATTTATAAAACACAATCACTAAAAACATACACAATATACTTTGGAATCTAAAATATATAAGTGAACCATATTAAACATTAAATTCAAAATTGAATTAAACTTACTAAAATATTTACAGTTAGCTAAAATATAATAGCAAAATATAAAGAATGATTATTATAAGCTTATAATTCCTTGTACTAAATCAAATTAAATTAACACAATAATTTATTTAAATTAATTATGTAAATTGATCTTGATATTAATAACAATCGTCATAAAAATAAACCAAAATATGTATGTATTAAAACAAAATATAAATAATTTCTAAAGCTAATAACAACTGCAATTGAGATTTTTAAAATATAATTATTTTTTATTATCTCTTTTGTGATAATATACTTTATAAATGAACAAGAATGTTAATAAGTAATAACAAAACTATTATATATGATGGAATTGGATACATACATTTTATGATATAAGTATATTGTGTAATACCTATTTTTTAGTTTTAAAATAAAATAATATTGAAAAAAATAGTTAAAATTAAAAGTATTTTGTGAATTTGGCTTCTTATAAATACTTTATACTCCTAGTCTTTTTCAAAAATATTACTATGTTTATTACTAATTACTTATAAGTCACTAATAAATATATAATATTATATAAGCTATATTCATATTTATTTTGTTATTCAATAATAATTAATATTTTTAACTGGACATTTTTTTTATAATATAATATCTAATCAATGAAATTATAATCTGCATTTTTTTATCTTGAGATTTATTTTTATAATTGTATTTTTATATGATTAAAAATAATGAAACTATTAAACTATATTTATTTAATATTAAGCTTTAATGTAATTTGAATAGTAATTACTAATTAGGATTTACTTAAATTTCTCATTAGATTAAACTTAACTTAATGTTTGATTTTAAATTATCAAATTACAATACTTTTATCTGAAGTATTTTAAATGTTCTAATATTCACACATTTAAAATATAATTATTCATTAAGAATGAAAGTATAAAGTAAAAATATRTATGTTGCCATTCATAAAAATAAAAATATACCATATTACCATAATATACCTATGTTATAAGAATTATCCCTTATTAAAATTAATAATTATATACTATAAAGTACTAAAATATAGTTGATTGAAAATTAGCCATTACTTTATATTGTGTAATATAAATATTACATTTTATTATTTTAACAACAAATTTGTTCAATGACAGTCAACAGGGGATGCCTTGAGAGACATATTTTTTGTATTGTACTTAAATTTACTTTTTATATATTCATTTTTCATTTTATCAGACGAAAATAATCAGTTATCTGTTAAATATTTATAGATTCTAATGGGTGTATTGATTTTATGCATACATTTTACAATGAAGTATTGAAGTTTGTTTTTCTTTTGTCTGGCATTACGTTTAAAAAAGAAAAATATCTTAATTTTTAACATTAATAATGGATTTTGTTAGGAAGTTCGAACTATTTGGTACAATAAGGTTAATAATAAAAACATTATCAGTATTTAAAAAAAGAATAGATAAAGATTTTAAAAATTACCACGGAAATACCTACTATCGAATATTTATATTCCACTAGTTTTTGCAGAATTATTGGTTTTTTTTTCTAATTAATCAAAAATTAATAATCCAGTTTAAGTTCGAAATTTCCTGTTACTATTTGTATTAGCATTATCTAGGCATGGCCATTATGAATTTTACAGATGTTTTAAATTTTGTTTGTTTTTTTATAAAATTATGTAAAAACAGTTTTTAATTCTAAGTCGAAAAGTTTGAAGATATACAAGGTTGTTATAAGTTGTTCTTTTAAAAATTCAAAAATATCAATAGTACAGTATATATAATAGTTAGTCAATTTTTTTGTATGCATATTTTTTTTAAATTTAAAATTACATTATGATTTATAAATTATTTAATAAAAAACTACTTAATACTACTAATGTATAAATTATTACAATATATCTTTAAAAATAAAGGCAAGTAGTTTCTGATCAGAATTGTTTTTGTATGCAATTATATTTGATGATTGAATTTCAATTCAACACACCCATTACAATAATTTACTCTAAGAAAAGATATACTTTAAATATACAACACAGCAGGGGTTTTTTCAATTTTAATCCTAAAGATATTATATGGAAATGATTTTTATTGCTTATTAAATAATTATGTACTTATGCATGAAATATGTATATATATAAAAAAATATATTGATGTTTAACTAGGAATATATAACACAACAACTAACAAGGTATAACTCAATGATGCTTAGTAATCTCTTTGATTGAAAAAAAAAATTAAAAAATGAAATATAATATAATATTATTTAGTTTTTTTGCTCATATTTTGTTCTTATGGTAATATATTGTTATAAAATATTTAATATTTCCCTAAGAAAAGGTTTTCCAGTTACTGTACAATAACACTAATGTATGTATAGAAATATGAGAAAAATGTAAGATTTTAATTTAATAATATTGCTCTATAATTTTTTATTATCAGAGACATTTTAAAATTTACTTTTGAATTTTAATCTATATTTCGTTAACCCTAATCTTCCTAATAAGTAACTGTATTAAATGACAATGTAACCCTTTGGTATATAATGTTTAAAATGATAAAATATTTTGCTCAATACAAAACTGATAATTTTGTTTGTGTAAGCAATACGCATATAACCTAAGTTACCTTTATTACTCTTTTATGTTGTAGATCATTATTGAAACTGCAATAAAATTTAATGACAATGTATCTAATTTTATATTCCTTTTGTCTAACATATTACATAATGAAAAACGTTTGAATAAAACAATTATCAATAACCTATTTAACTATAATGATTAATATTACAATTTATTATCAAATAATTGAATGATTTTCAAATTTATATGGATAGAACAATTTTAATGATWTATATGTTGTCTGAAATGTTTTTTTAATAATAATTAATTTTCAAACATTTCTGATTTTGTATTACCAAGTATTTATTAGTAGTATAAAAATAATGTGTATTATATATATATATTATGTAGTACTTAAGTCCAAGAGAATTATGTGAACCCAGATAAATTAAASAAATAAAATATGGCAGTGACTATCACAATTTGTATACTACTATAAATATCTAATGCAATGACCTCTTCAAAAACACAGATAAATACATTTAGATAAAGTCTTTTATGAGTTATAATATCTCTTATAATCTTGTATTAAACCTAACCACTTTAATTAATGTAGGTATTGTTGTTTGTTTTAGAGAAAAGTATGAAGACCTCTTAAAAGTTGCTTGTTGTGAAGTAATAAGTTACACAAGCAATGACAAGATTGATGCTTATGTTCTAAGGTAAATTATTAAAAAAAAAAATTATAATTAAATATAAAAACATATATTGGTTGGTTTTTGAAATATTTTAAAGTGTTTACAATTATTTACATATTAAAATTAATTTATAACTGATAAGGTTCAGTTCTAGAATATGTTATGTTTATTAACTATTTCTATCAATTTAATTAAATTATAATTTAATAAATGTACTTTTTAGTTGATCTAGAATCTTTTATTGAATATTAAGTTTCAATAACTTATTTATAGACCAAATTCTATCAGTATATGTTGGAAATTGTATCATCAAATATAATTTACTATTATTTTTCAAGTTTTTATAATTCATATCTAAAGAATACTAGTTATAATTAATTGGTTAGAGTTGTAACTTGTAAATTTTTAAAGCTATAATTTCCCGAATATAAAATTTTTCATTACTTCATGATGTTGCCCTACACAAAAATGATTCAAACCGAATAATTTCTTTGGTTGACCATCTTGGTCTTAATCTTAATGTATAATATTAATTTGTTGTTGGTCAAAAATGTAAATCTTAAAACATTTAAATTTGTTTAATTTATATTTAACAGTGAAAGTAGCATGTTTGTTACAAAACGAAGATTTATATTGAAGACTTGCGGCACAACAACTCCAATAGAATGCATTAAACCATTGTTGCTCAATGTTCATGAATTCACTGGATTTGATGAAGTAGAAGATGTGTTTTATTCTCGTAAAAACTTTGAACGTCCTGAACTTCAAAATGATACTCATCGTAATTTTAAACTAGAAACCGAGTCTTTAAATATTATATTTAAAGGAAGTAAGTAAATATTACATTTTAGAAGCAACAATATCAATATAATTTGTTATTAAAAACATGTTCCACAGCTGGAGTGGCTAGGTGTATGCGTTCATCAAAAACAGATGACTGTTGGTATTTATATGCTTTGCATCCAGTTGAATGCTTTGGAAAAGAAAAACAAAATCCTGATCAAACATTAGAGATACTCATGACAAATTTGGATCCTGATGTCATGCAAATATTCACAAAAGAACAGTCGGCTAATGCAAGTCAAGCTACTCAGGTACATTAAATATAACATTCAGAAGAAATTTACTGAAAATAACAGTTAATGTTTATGTACGCTATTTTAGGATTCTGGAATTTCGGAATTGTTGCCTAATATGAAAATTGATGATTTCTTGTTTGAGCCTTGTGGTTATTCTATGAATGGTATTGCAAAAGAAGTAAGATCATTTGATCTATCATGTTATTATACAATTTATCTCTTATTACTACTACTTATTAATTTATTAAAAAAATTATTATTTAATACTTGTTAGGATCCAAATAAACAATTGGATTTTTCCAGCCGATTTCCATGTTCTTTTTTGTGTGGTAAATATGCCAAAGATAGCTAACTGGGCAAACTGATCGGTTGGGAAAAACATTTCTGTCTGTTTATCACAATTTAACTCTGCATAATAATTCGGCCAGTGAAATCCAGTTATTAATTTGGATTATTAATGTTTTTATATTGTGTATTTTGAGTGGAAGTATCATAAAATAAATACAAATGTATAATAAATATTTAACGTTTCTTAAATAATGTATATTTATGTTTTTTAGGGACATTATATGACTATTCATATAACTCCACAACAAGAATTTTCTTATGTTAGTTTTGAGACCAATGTCCCTCAAAGCTCTTACAAGGAACTTATTTTAAAAGTGCTGAAAACATTCCAACCAGAAAATTGTGTGGTCACCATGTTTACTAATGAGGTATATAAATTTTTTTTTAAAAACTCTAACTATGTCAAATATTTCTAATTCAATAATTTGTTTGTTTTTTTTTATCAGGTATCGCCAAGTAATTCAAATCATAAGGAATTAAAATATCTAACACATCTGGGTGAATGGCAACAAGACTCAAACAAGACATGTTCCCTGAAAAACCATGACCTAACTGTATCGTTTTACTCCAAATACCCAAGCTGAGATCAACCGGTCTGGGACACGCCTCTCATCAAAACCCAAATGCTGCTATTGCCACATTACACAGCTGTCCTAGTCGTTCTAGTCTGCATAAAAACTCTATGTGTCACCAAACCTATTTATCACTTTGCATGGCGTCGTTTTAAAATAGTGTAGTTATCCTTCAACATTCCGGTGCATACCAGAATTCTATAATATAGTTGTTTTTATTTGTTCGTGTATTTAAAAAAAAAAAAAAATATTTATGAACATTGTATGTTCCTGTTACGGACACTAAATACGCTTGGTTCAATTGTGATTATGTGGCAAACATTTTGATTTGAGGTAGATTCAAAATTGATGCGCCATAAATAAATTTCCATTTATAAATATTTGTTATTACATTTTATATATATTTTTTTCGAAACATTACATTCTCTTAGACTGTTTAGACACCTATTACTTTTAAGTGTATGACATTGTTTTTACATTTTAATTATGCATTTTATTATGTTATTTATTTTAAAATATTAATTTATGAAAATAAATTGTTTCAAAATAGAATGTTATATATTATAAATTTATAAACTTAGTTATTAAAAGCTTTAGTTTGTACGTTTTCTTCCTTATTATATTAAATATTATCTCTTAAGATCAGAGATACATGTATGATTACATTGTTTATTAATAATAATGGACAAAATTATTGCAATCATTCAATTATGTGTATTATATTTCCTAAATAATGTGTGTTATGATATAAACTCAATTTCAGAATTATAAGAGTAGCATGCGTATGAATGATATTTATACTATTTATTATTTATTTTCAATTTATTAAGTAATACATATTTATAGTCACATTCTTTTAATAATTTTATTCAGTATCATGTTAACTAACATTGGGCCACTTTTCAACATACCTCAAAAATCCTTTGAAATTCATACCTTTTTAAGCCTCAAAAGTTGCTTGCTGTGCTTTGGTATCCTTACATTTTTTGCTCCGTTATGCTCTAGGTCAGGGATCAGCAAGCTTTTTTGACAGAAAAATCAAAAGCTACAATATACAAAGATTTTCTGATTTTAAAGAGCCACTAAAAATGTTCATAATTCTTTAAATATACCTTTATTTTTAAATTTTAATAGACATAATAATACAAATTTACAGTTATTTATTAATGGGTTACATCAAGAAATGAGATACATAAAACGTTAAATCTATGGGAGCATTGGCTTTGCATGTCTTTTGAAAGTTGTGTTAAGTCTGGCTTATAAGTTGTTGTTTTAAGTATCAAGTTATTGTTATGTATTATTCTATATTTTAAAAAACTACAAAAATATTATACATTTTTTTTATATTATGAAATATTGTTTTTACACATAAAATATTAATTTTTGAGTGTGTAACTGGAGAGCTGCAACTTAAGATCAAAAGAGTCACATGTGATTCGCGAGCCCAAATTGTCGACCCCTGCTCTAGGGGCTAGGTTAGAACGCCATGGATTTACCTAAACAATTTTTTTAACTAATAATTGCATGCAATAATGTTCTATATATAAATAAATAATAATTATTCTTATTGGTAATAATTAGGGCTGGGGACTTATTGAATTTCATATTTCTATTGAATATTCCAAAAGTTGCTAAGTAAGACAGAAATTTGTCAAGAGTTGTAATGAATTTAAAAATACTAAAGAATTTTTGCATATATTGAGGTTTTAATGAAAACACCCAATTTTTCACAATAAAGCAATTTTATACATATTGCATTACAATGCATACAATTTTAATAATGAGGTAGAATATTTCTTATAATAGTAATGAAAATAATACGATACTCTTGAGATCAATCAAATTATATTTTTATTTTTTTTTTTTAAGTGAAAAAATTAAAAATATTCTCATGCCAGCATTAAACTTATTTTTGAATACTTTCCATCGTAGCATTCTCCCATAAATAGATTTCAAGCAGTAAAGTAGAGAATAAGTTATTTCAAAGTAATTTAATTAAGTTAATTAAGTAAGGTTAGTTTTGTTATTTAAACATAGGTAGGCATAGATTGTATATCTATATTATTTTAAATTTCGAGTAGAACATAATACAGGTTACTCAAAAAAATTTGTTTTGATAATTTATTATATTTAGTGACAATCCAATAGATGGACTGTCGTTATTGAATTTATTTTAATCCAAATAAATTATTAGTTTAAATAATTTTATTTTTTTTTTTTTATTAGTTAAAACCTCACTTAACCTAATCAAACCCAACTTAACCTAACCAAATCAAAATAAACCCAAAGATTTTACTCATGATTTTTGATCTTTAGTAAAATTTAAATAAGAAACAATTAATTATACTACCTGAAATTACTATTAAATCATCAACTTTTAAAACATTACATTCTCTTAGACTGTTTAGACACCTATTACTTACTACTAAATATTAATTTGTTAATAAATTGCTTCAAAATAGAATGTTATATATTATAAGGTAGTATTACTACCTGAAATTACTATTACAGCATCAACTTTTGAAATTAATTTTTGACTTTTGATCAAATCAATAGGTAGTTGACTGGATTTTTGACTCATCAATAGGTAGTTGATAAATGTTTTTAAAATTTGAATTTATTTGATCCATTAGGTGTGTTTGGTTCCTACTTAATTGGAGTACTCGACACACATGGGCACCAACAGGGGGGTGTTGAGGAGGCCCATTTTACAACCTGTTATCTTAATTAGGTATTACTAATCATTTCGTCACTTGTAAAAATAAAATAATAGTGTGTGTTGTGTTACCAGACATTTTTGACATTGTCCCCAGTGGTTTCTATTTTTACAGTCGTCCTTTCAGTCGATTTCTAACTTTTATATAATCGTATTTACATTATAGGAAATTGAATTTAATTCATAGTTTGTAAGCTGTGGGGTCAAATGACTTTAATTTTTTTATTTTTAACTACTAGAAACCATGTCATTTTCTTTTCCAAAAACATTCATTCTTTTTGAAATAATTTATGTCCAATTATAAAATAATCAACCGATTGATAATAGTTCAAAATCTTTTGTACATGTTAAATATGTTTGTATAATTATATTGTATAGTAACTTAAATATAATGTTGAAGTGATAAGTATTTATGTTTGTACTATTGTACCTACTGTTACGTTTAATATTTTCTTATTATTAGGTAGTATTTTAGCAATAAAGTTATGGCAGAAATCTAATTTAGCGTCCTAGAAGTATAAAAAGTATTAAATATATTATGGAGCATTTGATTAAGGGGAGCCTTTCAAAAATTTCCCGGGGCGTCAAAATACCTAGGCCAGCCCCAGTGGCGCACAGTAGATTTTTCACAAGGGTGTCGAAAATATATATCTCGCGGTACCCACCCACCCCACAAGTAAAATCTGAGTTTATACTCTTTATACAATTAATATTAAATYAAACAAATATTTATCAAAATAACATCCGAATTCATCCAGAACCAGTCACACTCACCCAGTCACCCACCAATTCTCTGAGGGGTGTCAGTCGACACCTCTGCACCCCCCAGTGTGAACCACTGGCCGGCCCTGGTTATAACATAAAAACTTAAGGTTTCCGCCAATTAATTTTTGCACCATCGTTCTGAACTCGTCGAAATACATAGGTTTCCGAAAAAAAAATTCGTATGGGCACTAAACTAGATTTGTTCTAACTTTCTAAGTTAAAAAAAAAAACAACTACACTTGAATGACATTATGTATTATTATATATTAACTAACTAACTAACCTACGTATAAATAAAAAATAAATATAAACATCTATTACCTATATTATTAGGTACATCAGTTATTAGTTTATCATTATTTTTTACGTATACGTTAATAAAAATAAAAACCAACCTTTGGGCTACAACTGTTCTAAGCTTCGGGAGAATACTAGCGTACTCTGGTGAGCTAAATCTAAACTATCAAATGGTCATCATTTTTGGTTATGATCACGGCCTAGACTAGATTATAATTTATAATAACATTATAAGTTTATAACGTCGAAAGAATCGAAAGATACGAGACCGCCTTCTTATCTTCTCTAGATCGAGTTTGTTGTTTATTATTCACATTAATTGTCACTACTCACCATAATATTCTAAATGTGTATTAACTATTAAKATTATTAAATATTAGAATATGATACCGTTGATTTGAATAATAAATTAAGTTATAGACTGCTTACGAACTAAAATAAATTTGTTACAAAAAATGTTGAATTTAAAAGAATATGGTAGCAGTAGCGACGAAGAAGATGCATCAAAAGAAGAAACCAACCTAGAAACACCTTTTGATAATTCAATTAGTGTTCAAGAATTAAGTGAAAAGTTTGCAGTAAATGCCGCTCCAAATGTTTTACCACCTGTAAGTATTTCACATATCTATAATTATTTATTGCTCAAATTTATTATTACCGGGATTATTACTATTTGAATGTCTATTTAGAAATAATATTTAGCTTAAGTAGTAAATGTATTGTATAGTTCTTAGGTGCATTGGAGCATTTATTGATATCAGTCATAACAATAGTTATAAAAAAAATGCGTATACTTATTTGAAAATAATGTAATTTATTAATAAATGATAAGTTTAATATGTTGATTGGTGGATAATGTGTATATTATTTTTACTATTTTCTATTTTATTTATTCTTTTTAAATTCTGTGATTTTTTTCATTGAATACAGTGGTGTGTTTATATAACATTTTCAGAGACGTCTCATATTTTATTCACTGCAGCACCATTAACCTGTTAAAAGTGCATTCACTGTCATATTTACAACTACCTGTCGTAATTATTACTATAAAATATTATAGTATATACTAAATTTTCTCTTAAGATCATTACCCTTATATCACCCCTTAAGAAATTCTCCCCTCCTTAGCCACAACATTGATTTAATACTTAATCAAATACAATCTTCACAAATAAATTCATTGTTTCTTCACTTTCTTTATCATAAATATCCAATTGATCTGTGAATACATCTTTTGTTAGTATAAAGATAGTGAATTTGCTGAAATTTTGTTGGCTAAATTCAGATTCTATTAACATGACGTAGTTCCTTGCTTAAGTTAACTTAATTTTTTGGTTGGTGTATTATCAAATGTTGCAGCCCAT